TCCTAGAATGATTTGGATTGGAAGGAGCCTTTGAAGCTCATCTAGTCCAGGCTTCCTGGAATGAGGAGGGACATCTTCAACTAGAGCAGGTTGCCCAGGACCACATCCAGACTGGCCTTGAGTACCTACAAGGATGGCATATCTACCATGTCTCTGGGCAACCTGTGCCGGTACTTTAGCACCACTAAAATTCTTTCTTAAAGCAACAAAAAAAAAAAATCCAAAAAAGCTGAAACATTAACTCATGGTGTAAGGCCTCCCTATGTTTTTATTAAACTGGGTACTGGGATGGGACTCCTGTGTTGAATGCGCGTCCTGCGTCTGGGTATCCCAATGATAACAACATTGTCTGGGAAGGTGCGGTACTAGGGAACAGCTCTAAAGGTGTATGGTCATTCTAATGTTACTGTTAATAGCTTTAATGAGAAGTATATGCGCAAAGTATAGTTGCAGTAGATATGTGATTCTGCACTTCCCTCACAGAACACAAAGCCTTGCTGTGTTTCATGCTTTTGCTTCATGACCCTTTTACCTGTGCTTTGGCAGGCGCTGAGCAGGCAGTGAACCATCACTGATCATGCTGTCACCTCTATGCAGAAATAGCAGCAATGTACAGGGTAGACTTTACTGGAGTGATGCAGGGTTTTTTTGCTCAGGTACTCATGGGCAGTGTGGCTTAAGCTTGTCCACATCAAACCCCTTTTGCATGCTATGAGGCTCTGTTGGCTTCCTTTCTCTGAGCACCTCACAGGGAAGGCCTACACAAAGGTAAAAAGCATGCCACAAACCACAGGGGTCTTTTGTTTCTCTCCCCTCCTCCAGGCATTTATGAACTCTTCCAGCATCCTGTTATGTAAAAACGTGGCCTAAACTTGTTCTGCTGGGGAGAGTGCTGATGGAATTTAAATTCTTCTCTTTGTATGTCAGTTCTTCCGAGAGTAATTTCCCCAAATGCTTTTCCTCCCTTGATACCTTACAGTGAAATCCATCACAGCTTTGTAATGCCCTCAAGGATTATTTAATTTATGTTGTCTTCTGATGTCTTTTGCTCTCCAGGGTTCACTGTATTTTAAGATTAGAGCTGAGGTGGGCTGTGTGCTGCTGGCATGGAGCTGGAAGGAGTACTGAACTTGCCTTTCTCTGTTGTGTAATTAAAAGGTGAAAATCAGTGGTCCAGCCACTTGACCTGCTGGTTATTGGCCAACCAGAGCTGTATTATCCAGTGTGTTGTCTGAAGTGGCTTGGGACAAATTGCAATAGCCAAAAACCTTCCTATGGCTTAGAGTCATGCTTCATGAATAACTTTCACACCAGCATATTGTTGCCATCTTAAAGTGATCTTTTGTCTGTTGGGAGGTAGAGCTTGATTGATCTCTGACTGTAATTGCTTCTACATAGTGGGATCCCTAATTTGGAGTTGGGATCCTGTTGCAGAAGTCGGAGTTTGAATTAAAGAAAAAAAAAAAAAAAGCCCCCCGGGAAACCAATATTGAGCCACTAAAGTGGAATAGTAAAAAAGGAAAATGTTAAGAGCAAGTAGCAGAGAGCTTATAGCCTGTTGGGGATTGCAGTGTTGGAGAAACTGTGTGTTTTTGAAACTTTGTCTCAAGTTTTAAGGCAGAGTATTACTTAACATACCTTGGTTGTTCTGATCTTAAATTGGGCCAGAAGAGTCCTTCCAGAGTGAACTTTTGTTCTCAGGAGCCATTTAAAATTGTGCAGACTGGCTGATATGACAGTTTGCTACCTTGAGAACTGTGTTGCCCAAAGTATTTCTGAACTGCCCTTTTGGGATTTGTCATGCATGATTTTAAGTTCTTTATAGGTTGCGTGCTTCTACTTGTAAAAGCTGTAAAATGAGCCAAGAGGTTATCTTTGAAAGATACCTAAAATAATGCCTCACTCAGAACTGCTGAAACATTGATAATGTCTCCCACAGCATCCTTATAGGTAAGCTAAGGAAGTGTGGGCTTGATGATCAGGTAGTGAGGTGGATCAAGAACTGGTTGGAAGGAAGAAGGCAGAGAGTTGTGGTCAGTGGGGCAGAATCTAGCTGGAGGTCTGTGATAAGTGGAGTACGTCAGGGGTTGGTGCTGGGACCAGTGCTGTTTAGTATTTTCATCAACGACCTGGATGAGGGAACCGAGTGTACCCTCAGCAAGTTCGCCGATGACCCTAAACTGGGAGGAGCGGCTGACACACCAGAAGGCTGTGCTGCCATTCAGGGAGACCTGGACAGGCTGGAGAGTTGGACAGGGAGAAACTTGATGAAATTCAACAAGGGCAAGTGTAGAGTCTTGCATCTGGGGAAGAACAACCCCATGTACCAGTACAGGTTGGGGACTGACCTGCTGGAAAGTAGCGAAGGGGAAAGGGACCTGGAGGTCCTGGTGGAGGAGGATGAACATGAGCCAGCAATGTGCCTTTGTGGCCAAGAAGGCCAATGGCATCCTGGGGTGGTTAGTAGGTCAAGAGAGGTTCTCCTCCCCCTCTATTCTGCCTTGGTGAGGCCACATCTGGAATATTGTGTCCATTTCTGGGCCCCTCAGTTCAAGAAGGACAGGGAATTGCTTGAAAGAGTCCGTCCCAGAGCCACAAAGATGATTAGGGGAGTGGAGCATCTCCCTTATGAGGAGAGGCTGAGGGAGCTGGGTCTCTTCAGCTTGGAGGAGACTGAGGGGTGAGCTCATCAATGTTTACAGATATGTAACGGGTGAGTGTCAGGATGATGGAGCAAGGTTTTTTCAGTGATATCCAGTGATAGGACAAGGGGCAAGGAGGTTCCATGTGAACATCAGGAAAACCTTCTTTACTGTGAGAGTGACAGAGCACTGGAACAGGTTGCCCAGTGGGGTTGTGGAGTCTCCTGTGTTGGAGATATTCAAGGTGTGCCTGGACAAGTTCCTGTGTGATGTACTTACTCTAGGTTACCCTGCTCTTGCATAAGGTGGTTGGACTAGATGATCTTTTGAGGTCCCTTCCAACCCTTGGGATTCTGTGATTCTGTGAGTAAAATTTGGGCAGTGTGAATACAGGGCTATTTGTTCCCATGTTTGCAGAGCTCCTTGTTTTGTTTTGCCTTTTCTAATAAGTTTATATTTTGGGTACTGTCCCTTGGTAGCACTGCTTTGTTTTTATACTGTTTAACTACATGTTCAGACTTGAATCCAGGACTTCAGCAGGCAGCTTCCCTTCCTTCTGTGTTCACTGGTGAATCTGAAACCTTCTGGACAGGTGACCATATGGGTTGTCAGCTGATGAGTTATCTTTATAGAAAGAGACTGGGGGAGGTGGAGAACTGAAGAGCACAGCCACTTTCGCAGTCATGAAACCACCTGGAAATGTCAGGGTTATTCTCTCTGCTTCTAGAAGCTGATGTGCAGAAGCTGAGAGTCTCCAGTCTTAGGCAGGCAATGCTCTTTGCCATTGTTTTCTAGCTGAGGCTCTTCTCATGGGATATTGGAGCGATAAGCTTGTGTTGAGCCTCTGGGCATGAAGCCATCATTAATAGTCAAGGTGGACACTCTTGCTTGTGGGGTTTTTATAACATGAAGTTTTTCATATCGCTTGTACAAATGTCAAACCAAATCTACTGTAGCCAAATCATCTTAATTAAGTCTTTTCAGGGCAAGGTACAGGAGCTGTTATTCTAGCTTGCTCCTGTGTAGAAAGTACTTGTTTTCCTAGAAACAGACTGTAATATTCAGTGATACTGATAAAATCACAGAATTGGCCTGATGACAGTGAATACAGTAGCGGGGAAGACTGATTTCGCAGAGAAGCAAATAAGAGGTTTTGATTAGGATCTCCTCTTGGATTACATGCTATATGGCTGGGACTTTGACCATGGAAGTGTTTATCTTGAAGTTCTGTATTTTTTTCGGTTGAATGCAATAACAGTTGAAAGATGCTGCCATTTGTTGGTAAAGAATTACACAACCAGGTGAATCTTCCAGAATAACAGGGACTTGGAAGGGGTAGAATTCCTTTCTATCCTGGTGTTCCAGGAAGTGGCAGTTTTGCTTTACTGAGGCAGCCACTAGTATCTCCCATCTTGTTCTGAGGACTGCTACAGCCCTGGGGCAAGTGAAGGAACAACTTCTTTCACATCAGTTGCCATTCCTGAAGAGTTACCCCCATGGGTATGCTCTTAATTTGCAGCCTTGCTTGTTTTTTCTTGCTGGGTTGCTCACATTTTTTCTTCTCTGGGTCTGGCTGTCCAAGCTGAAAAACCTTCTGTAAATCAGACAGGTATGCTGTAGTACAGATCTGTCAGGTACAGGAGGTTGCAGACATCTTGGGCTGGACCTGGATGTGAACCTGTGTTATGATCCTCCCTCACTTCGGGAGCTGCTGGTTAAAATAACTCTGCTTTGGTTGCTGCTGCAGTACTTGGCAACAGTAGACTAGTACACAGGCTGAAAGCGTGGGCAAGGCAGTGAGTCTGTCTCAGTGCAGTGAACAGAGGTGAGGTTTCTTTTTTTTTTTCCCCCACTTGTTTTTTAATATTAAGTGTTCCATAACCCTTACACACTTTATCTGTATAATTTGGGGAATTACTAGCCTCTCTTAACGCAGTAAATGGCATATTTTTTAAAAAGCAGTCTCTCACTTGAATAAGATGTAGCTATGTTTGTCCTTTACCAAAACAAAAGCAGCAATGAAGCTGGTGAAGGGCCTTGAGCACAAGTCTTACCAAGAGCAGTTGTGGGAACTGGGGTTGTTTAGTCTGGAGAAAAGGAGGCTCAGGGGAGACCTTATCATCGCCTACAACTCCCTGAAAGGAGGTTGTAATGAGGTAGGTGGTGTTCTCTTTACCTGGGTAACAAGCAATAGGATAAGAGGAAAGGGCCTCAGGTTGCATCGAGGAAGGTTTAGATTGGATATTAGGAAAGACTTCTTTACCTAAAGGGATGTCAAGTCTTGGAACAGGCTGCCCAGGGAAGTGGTTGAGTTGCCATACTTGGGGGGATTTGTGTAGGTGTGGCAGTTAAGGTTTAGTGGTGGACTTTGCAGTGCAGATTTAACAGTTGGACATGATTATTTTAAAGGCCTTTTCCAACCTAAGTGATTCTGTGATTCTGTTTACCATTTCCTAGCAAGATTTGTCCTATCAGAAAGTAACAGTGCGTTGGGTGGAGAGCTGAGTTATTTGGTGTTTTACATCCTTCCTTGCTGTCTGCTGCTAATTCTAATCCATGGAAAGTGCTTTGTGAAAAACATGGAAGAGTTTCTTTTGCCTGTAGCATCTCGGTACCTATATCACTGTGTGGGATTGAAATGTTCCTTCATCCTTCTTCGGGAGCAAATCTGCAACTTGTTGTCCAAAAGGAGTTCTAAGACTACAAGAACAGAAAGTGCTATTTCTGTACCGGAATGTCTGAGACTCTCATCTAAGTGTGATCTGGATCAGAATACAACTGCCCTTAAGAGCTTTCTGTTCTCATATTTGATATTTATGTGCCTGGTAAATATTCATGATTTCATTGCCCTACACATTGATCTTCCAGGAGAACTGGATCTTCTTTTAATGCAACAGAGACTCTGGGAGCAGCTGTGGAGGATGGAAGTGCACATGCAGCTTGTTCTCAAATTCTCTAGACAATGTGTCTTGCTGAGTGTGTCTCACATGTTTGTGTAATGTAATCTGCAACAATCTGGGAGTGTAAGAGGCTGAGGTATGCGTGGTGAATACTGCTGGTGACTTTGGGAACACTGCGGTGCTCCATCTTGCCCTCAGCTGTAAGACTGTCAATGCAGTTGGGAGGTTTTATCAGCAGAGCTTGCTGTTGAGAAGAAAGTAGTCATAGAGAAAAGCAACAGATAAAAGTTATCAAAATAACCCTTGCTCTGTGGAGAGGAAGGCCTGTTGGTTACACTTGCATTTGAATGACATCCTGTAACACAATATGAAAGTTTAGGATGAAGGTAGCAGGCTTGCTTTGTGTTCAGAACTTTGTTACTTGGGTAAGGTGTGTGGGATTTAAATGTAAAATTAAGCTTAATAGCTTTAAATCCTAGCATGTGTCAGGCTTGTCCAAACTTAAATAAACTGAGTGTGGAACAAGAATGATGCACATCTCTTATGTGGATGAGCCATGATTGAGTACTTGTTACCCATGTGATCAGGGCCTTATTTATAAGGTGTTTGAGTGTCTACAAAATGGCCTAGTGAATGTAAGATGAGATTTTTTTTTTCCTCTGAGCTGTTTAACAAATTGCAAGTAAGCTATTTGTTCTTCTATTTTTTTCTCTTAGTCTTTTCTAAGTTTAAAAAAGACTCCCTAGTTGACATAATTTTGACTGTTCAACCATTTACATGGTGTTGAGGTATCCATGTCCTGATTGGTGATTTTTGGTGGGTGTTTCAAATAATTCATGCTGTAAATTTGCAGTAGCACCCATAGGAGGGGCATTGAAGTGGTGTGAAGGACATGGTGACCCATCAACTGAGTGGTGAGGTCTGTAGCATGTGAGGCGTATATGCCATAGATGTGTCAACAGCAAGATTGCTGCATGAGGATTCAGGTCTTCCCCCTTCCCAAAAGGGGAAACAGCTTTAGCTTGGATTTCATTATTAACAGTTTCCCTTTCTTCTGTTTAATGAGTAAGCTGGCCTGGCTGGTCACTCTTTCAGAAATGTTCTGAGATTATAGTTTCAGGATAAGGTAGTCGGCTCATCTCCCGGCAGTGATTTCTCTGCATAGAGTCATAGAACAATTAGGGTTGGAAAGGACCTTAAGATCATCAAGTTCCAACCCCCTGCCACAGGCAGGGACACCTCGCTCTAAACCATATCACCCAAGGCCTCGTCCAGCCTGGTCTTGAACACTGCGAGGGATGGAGCATTCACAACTTCCCTGGACAACCTATTCCAGTGCCTCACCACCCTAACAGGAAAGAATTTCCTCCTTATATCCAATCTAAACCTCCCCTGTTTAAGTTTTAACTCGTTACCCCTTGTCCTATCACTACAGTCCTTAATGAAGAGTCCCTCCCCAGCATCCCTATAGGCCCCCTTCAGATACTGGAAGGCTGCTATGAGGTCTCCACGCAGCCTTCTCTTCTCCAGGCTGAACAGCCCCAACTTTCTCAGCCGATCTTCATACGGGAGGTGCTCCAGTCCCCTGATCATCCTCATGGCCCTCCTCTGGACTTGTTCCAACAGATCCATGTCCTTTTTATGTTGAGGACACCAGAACTGCACACAGTACTCCAAGTGAGGTCCCATGAGAGCAGAGTAAAGGGGCAGGATCACCTCCTTCGACCTGCTGGTCACACTCCTTTTGATGCAGCCCAGGATATGGTTGGCTTTCTGGGCTGCAAGCGCACACTGCCAACTCATGTTCATTTTCTCATCGACCAGCACCCCCAAGTCCTTCTCCCCAGGGCTGCTCTGAATCTCTTCTCTGCCCAGCCTGTAGCTGTGCCTGGGATTGCTCCGACCCAGGTGTAGGACCTTGCACTTGGCATGGTTAAACTTCATGAGACTGGTATCAGCCCACCTCACAAACGTGTCAGGATCCCTCTGGATGGCATTCCTTCCCTCCAGCGGATCAACCGAACCACACAGCTTGGTGTCATCGGCAAACTTGCTGAGGGCGCACTCAATCCCACTGTCCATGTCAGCGACAAAGATGTTGAACAAGACTGGTCCCAACACCCATCCCTGAGGGACACCACTCGTTACAGGTCTCTAGCCGGACATTGAGCCATTGACCACAACTCTGTGTGCAGCCATCCAGCCAGTTCTTTATCCGCTAAGTGGTCCATTCATCAAATTGATGTCTCCAATTTAGAGGCAAGGATGTTGTGTGGGACAGTGTCGAACGCTTTACACAAGTCCAAGTAGATGACATCAGCTGCTCTACCCCTATCCATCAGTTCTGTAGCCCCATCATAGAAGGCCACCAAATTGGTCAGGCAGGATTTCCCCTTAGTGAAGCCATGCTGGCTGTCACCAAGCACCTTGTTGATTTCCATGTGTCTTAGCATGCCTTCCAGGAGAATCTGCTCCAAGATTTTGCCAGGCATAGAGGTGATAACACAGTGCATGTTACGTATAGCTTTCAAGTACTATAGGTGCAGCTCTTGCACCCTGAGATCATTACTGCAGTTAATATGCCTCATTTATTTCCAGGCTGTTTGATTACAAAGCTTTTCTTAGTTTTAATGCTATTTTTTGAAAAAGGGCTTGTCTCAGGGATGTGTTTGGCTGGTTTGGGGGAGGAGTGGACAGTGGGTTTCAAATGACAAAATGTTTAGTTTGTCCTCTTCAACACTGCACACCATGGCATTCAATAACAAGTGTAGTAGTGTGGGATAATTGCAGGTATATTAGTCTTTTCTGAACTGAGCGTTTTGTTTATTGAGTGTCAGGGTAAGATGGTTAAAAGGTTCTAATGAACTTTTCCTGGCATTTTTTGGTGCATCTACAAATGCCTTGTCTGTGAGATTTGCATGCTTCAGCCAGCCCTTGATGTTTAGCTCTTATTCTGCTTTTTATGCTGTCTTTACATTGAAACCTCTGCAGAGTACTTCAAGAGAGAGCACCTCTGAAAAGCAGTGTCTTGGTTTGTTTCCACACTTTGTGTGTGAGGCAGGGGAGTGTCTTCAGGAGGAGCTGAAGCCTGAATGCCTTGCTGGCTAGCAAAGTCTGCTTCAGTGCTCTAGTTAAGAGTCTTGGAGCTGCCGGGATAGCGAAATATGCTCTGAAAAAGGGTGTTAACATGAGCATCCCTGTGCAGGGAGACATGGCTGAGGCATGATCTTACAGTTATGCATTGCATGTCACTAACAGAAATCACTGTTGATGGGTGATAGTTGGAGGTCCAGGCAACTGATGAAGTGAGCACTGATTTGACTCACAGAATTAAATCTGGGAGTAATAACTTTCAAACAGTTGTCTGCTTCACTGTTAAAGTTTGCTGCTCTTGTGGCCAGGGTGCCTGAAGAAGACACACAGCACTAGTACAGGGAGAACAGGAACTGGTTTCAGTGTGTTGGCTGCTGAGGAGAGGCTTCATGTGTTATGTAGTCCCTGCTCCAGGTACACTCATCGTCTGTAGAGAGACTTGGACACTGTCAGCTCATGCAGGTAAAAAGCTTGGTGGCTGAAGTCATGAGATCCTGTGGAGGAGCTTTGTACTGAAGTCAAGAGGAAAGACTTTCAGTTCCATGTAATAGAAATAGGACAAAGACTTGGTGAGAAAAAGATGTCTGTATTATGCAAAACAGGGCTTAAGGGGGTTAAAATTTTGCACTTGTGGCACGTGGTTGTGTAAATGAATTCAGATTAGGTATCTGGGGAGGATAATGGAAGCATGTTTTAATGAACCCCGGCTAATTACTCGTCATTTCTTGATCAATACCCAGGAGACCTCAAACTGCTCATATTTAAAAACCCTTATATGTGTGTATATATATATATATGTATGTATATAAATCCTCTGCATATAATTAAAACAACTGGAGGCACTTGGTTTGTAATGTTCTAGTTCACAAGGGCTTTATGTATTTGGAGGGTGTCCTGTAAAGTTGAAGACTTTCAGAAAGTATTGTGAATTTTTGATGTGAAGTGCAGATGAACACATGGGCTTCAGAGAGCATAAGTTTTTTGAATCATTTTGCTGTAAGTGTATGTAAGTATGTGGGATGATGAGTTGGGTTGCTTTAATATGATGTGGTTTTTGCTATAGGGTTGGAACCTGTTTCACATGCTGGTGTAGACCAGGCAAGGCAGATGTATGTGGTTTTCAGCAAGAGCAAATAGTTCCTGTAAATACTTGCTGGCATATGTATGTTGCTGAAGTGACCTGTATATGGACCACCTCTTGTGTTGTCTCAGAAGCTTGGTTTTCACCAGAATATTGTGTATGAATTTCAGTGTACTCAACATGAATACAAAATAAAAATGTTAGGACATAAAGGACTGTCTTAAAATAGTTTCCTGTTAAAGAATTTGTAATATTCTGTCTTTTGCAGTTGAGCTAATTAACAAAACCACTGCATGTTCATAGCTAATGCATCACTGTGTATGTGCCTATGGGTAATGAATGCATGACAGAGGTGAGGAAAGGTAACCCTTCAGCAAACAGCCTGCAACACCATCTCCTCAAGTTCTGTTTCATGAATTCTTCACTGCATTCAGTGAGAAATGCCAAGTGTGTCAGACTTGGCTTTTATTCTAGTGTATATTTAACCGGTCGAAGCTTCTGGTTTCTGCTGATAGCAGCACTGATTTTATCGGTGGAATACGTACCTGTGCAGCCTGCTTTGACTTGCCTAGTGAGGGAATGGCTATGCACAGGAAAGCTTTAGGCAGCCTCTCAGACCATTAATGCTACACCATCACTTGAAGGCTTGCCTTGGGTGGTAAAGGGGTGTGAGAAGCAGCATGTGCCTTGGAGAAAGCCAAGTGAGGAGGCTAGTGGTCTCATTAAGGGAATCCTAAGTAGAGGGTTCTCTGTATAAATGAACATCAGGTGGTGCTGACTTAAAAACCCCACAAACCCCAAGTAGTAGGTCTTGAAGATTATAAACCCTCACTGACTCCCACTGAAATGATATAGTGGTTAATGGGCTGGATGAACAGATCCTTTGCCTGGGAGCTTTCTGAATTGAAACTGGCAGGCAGTTTGAAGAGCTGGTTCCTGAGGTCTGAGCAGTCTGCTCCAAAGCTTGTTTTATTACACCCCACAAATTTGCTGACTTGGTAGAAGCCTTGAGAGGGATGTGGTCACAGCTAGAGAGACCAGAACCCAGCTCTGTCTTGAGCTTGGTAAGAGAGGGGTCCTTGGAGCAGGTATTCGGCAACCTTCTGAAGCACAATCCAGCTCTTCCCTCTCTTAGAGAAAACCCAACACACCCTTTTCATCAAAGAGTGCTGGAAGGAGGATCCCAGGCTGAAAGCTGCAGTTGTCTTATGTTGTGTTAGCATACTCTTTCCCTGAAGTTTTCAGAAAGATTGAAGAACTTTGTTGTTTGTATTCTTTCAGAAAAAAGTGGGAAAGTTGGAATTTTATGCTTTAGTGTAATTGCAAAGTTTGCTTCTGTGTTCTCTTATTTTCATTTAATGTTTCTTTTATGCCTAATTCTTGTCTGCTTTGTTTCATTGCTGGTACAGCTGTTGTTTAAAAAGGAAAAAAATCCCTGTTACGCTATCAAAGAGATTGTTCAAGCATGACTAGAGATAAAATTAACTAGCAAGTCAGTGCTTTGTGCTCTGAGGAGTGGCTTCCGATGATGGCTTACATTCTCGTACCAAAAATGACCTTAGGCAGTGATATAAAAAGATGGGGGTGGGCAAGTGTTATCGGCTGGAGTGAAGCTTTTTATCCAGTGGTGGATGTAAAAGGACAAGATCTAACCTTAGGAGTGGGTCAGTGGTAGATGGTTTGATTTTATTTTTTTTCTTTATATACAGAAGTCTAACAAGTAATTATTTGACAATTACCACTTTCCAGTGCCTTCCATGCTTGTACAAGGCATAGCTAATTGGTTTGTGGCCTTTTTACAAAGCCTTTACTGAGCAGCTTCAGTAAATGATTGTTATCACAGCGATTCTTCCCTGCAATCTTGTCCTTAGTTTCTGGTGAGAAGGTGGGACAGGTTTCTAACCACTGGGCTTACTGATTTGGTTCTCCTGGCTGTGCTAAAAGAAAAGAACTGCTGTACATCTCTAGATGATATAAAAACCTTCAAATATACCAGCTACTCCTTTGAGAATAGACAAACAGACTGTAGTTTTACTGCAGTGAATTCCTACTGCAGATCCGATGTGCTGGCTTCAGGGTTTTTTTTTTCTCTGTGTGATATGGTATCTGCCTGGATTTCCAGCAGCATAGCTGTGCTGGTGAAAAATTGTGTCTGGTTGATGTCATCCTAAAAAACATGTAGAAAAGGCCATAGCCATTCAGGCTTCCTAGGAGCAAAAGTGGTAAATTAACACAGTAATAGTACCAGGTTTTCATTTCTTACTGCTTAATTTTCTGTAGTTGCATGGCTGATTACATAATCGAATATTCAGTTTTCCTCAACCTCTTAGGTACTTGAAACAGATGCAGTATTTTAATGCTACTGGTGATCGTATTCACTGACAATTGTAAATGTTACTAAAGAGGCAACACAGCTGATAGTCTGCAGCTTAGTATATTGATGGCTGTGTTCAGAAATCCGCTTAATTTGCGTTCAGATCTTATGTCTGGATATGTTGCTGTATGCAGATTCCTTTGTGGGCTGTCTACAAGTAGTTCAAAAGCCAGTACTTAAAAATCAGAGAACCTTGTAGCCAGCTGGCTGATATAAAATCCTTTTCTTGATCTCACGGCAGTTTTACATTGCCCTGCAAGGATATCATGCACATCTCTGGAGCTTTAACAAATTCAGCTAGAATGCGTTCACATGAAGTGCTTGCTTTGCTGGTGCTGGAGTGTGAGGAGCTTCATGTGCCGTGGCATGTTGCTGTGCGCTTAGTTTTGCCAGCTGAGTTGCTTACAGGACCAAGCTGTGAACTGAATTCCTGACAGAGGCCGAGGTTGTGGGGTTGACCCAAACCTTTGATGAACCAGAGAATGGATGGGGGGCAGACCTGAGGAGAAGGAATGGGGGGGCACTGATTGATGGGATGCTCAGCAGGAGTCAGCAGTGTGTGCTTGCAGCCCAGAGCCCCGTGTGTGCTGGGGTTCATCCCCAGAGCATGAGCAGGAGGTCGAGGGAGGAGATTCTTCCCTTCTGCTCCTCTCTGGGGAGATCTCCCCTGCAGTCCTGGGTCCAGCTCTGGGACAGCAACACAAGAGGGTCATGGAGCTGTTGGAGCGAATCCAGAGGAGGCCATGGAGATGCTGCGAGGGCTGGAGCAGCTCTGCTCTGTAGCTGGGCTTGTTCAGCCTGGAGAAGAGAATGCTCTGAGGAGACCCTAGAGCATCTCCAGTGCTTAAAGGGTCTACAAGAAACCTGGAGAGGGGCTTTTGACAAAGGCCTGTAGGGACAGGACAAGGGAGAATGGCATTAAACTGGCAGGGGGGAGACTGAGATGAGCTCTTAGGTAGAAGTTCTTCCCTGTGAGTGTGGTGAGATCCTGGCACAGGCTGCCCAGAGAAGCTGTGGCTGCCCCATCCCTGGCAGTGCTCAAGGCCAGCTTGGACAGGGCTTGGAGCAACCTGGTCTAGTGGAAGGCGTCCCTGCCTGTGGCAGGGGATTGGAACTGGATGAGCTTTAAGGTCCCTTGTATCTTAAGCCATTCTGTGGTTATGATTACCTCAAACAGCATAGCTCCTCAAATATTTGCATTTGCAGTGGCATTTAGGGTGCCATTGTGAACGGAGAGCTGGAGATTGGTAGGGGATGTGGAAAGAGTGGTACAGGGTAGATCCTGCAGCCTGGGATGAACTGCCATGTGTCATTCTGTTTGGTCTTCAAAGTAGCTGGCAAGATCTAGCGAGTCCCACAGGCAAGTGGTCAAGGAGCTGGGTAAGAATTCTTAAATAAGTCTCTTTTTAACAAGTAGCTCTTAAAAGTATGACAGATGTACATAAAGCTCAACATCTGGAAGTCTTAAATCAGCTCCATTGACAATGACTTTGCAACAACTCAAAATTGTATTGCTCTCTATTTTGAAACCATGTGGTTGTTGTCCAGTGATCAATCTTGGAGGTTCTGAAGAAGGTGAAATGGATTTTCAGAAGTTGAGATGCATGTGTGTCTCATGTATGAGAAAGCAGTAGTAATTCAGTTTTATTAGACTTGGCAACACAAGACCCCTAGAACAAAGCTGAAAGGGCCTTTGATTTAAGCATAATAGTGTAGGTATTAGTGTATAAAAGAAAGGTCAAGGAGAAAGGATGCTGCAGAGTGCATTTCCAGGTTGTTAAAATGCTAAAATGTCTGTAACACCTTCTTTTCTTGCTGCCTTCTGTCTTGTTAATCCTGCCATTGCCAGTGAACTTGACAATGGAGCAGAACTGGGTGAACATGCAGACCTGAGTGTTGCACAGCTGTAATCCGTTGCTAGGCTTCTTCTGTGGTGCAGTTTACCTACACTTTTCTTTCAGACTTAATTCTGTTTGATTTTCTGCTGTGGTCAAAGGAGGCTTTCTGCTGAGACTAATTTGCTGTTGTGTTGCTCAGACTTGTGAATGTGTTTTGCAAGTCTCAAAAGATGTCTGATATTTAACCAGTGTTAGTGATCAGAGATAACTGTGAATTGAAATGGATGCTCTCAGCCAAAAAAGGAGCGTCTTGATTTACAGTGAACTTCTGGGTGGCTCACAGCCAGGTGGAAATGTGCTCAAAAGGAATATAGACTTTGGAAGTGCTTCATTATCCTTTCTAGTCAGTACAGAAAGGTTATCTGGTGTGATTTTTTTCTGGTGACTAGTTTCTAATTAGTTACTGGAGATGGGGATTGCAAATGCAAAGTGGTAGTACGTGTTAGGCTGGGAAATCCCTGGCATCTGTTAAAGCTCTAGCACTATCTACCTTGAGTTGGCTACTGCCTGCAGAGTGGTTCCCTCTTGAGGAAGAGAGCTACTGCTCTCAAATGTCTTCTTTGTCTCACTTTAAAGAGAATAGTGTTTAATTTTATGATGTTGATGCTTGTTGCCTCTCATAGGGAGCTGTTGGAGTGCATTTACATCCTGGTTCACCCAAACTGGCTGTTGTGGAAGTGTGCAAAATGAGCTACTTCAAATATTACACTAGAGGAATCAGAGCGATCTATGAAGTATCTCATTCCTTTATACCAGTGTTACAAATGCCAGCTAAATGAGGAAATTAACATATTTATTAATGCTTGTCAACACTTTAAATTCAGATTTTCGCTAAATGCTGCGGTACATTTTCTATTTATATAGCAGCTTTGATCTAATAGGTAGAGATTATTAACTTAGTAAAGGTCTGGTCAAAAAGAGAGGGTTGTACCTTTTCCTTGAGGCATCTGCTTATTTTGAAGTCACAAAACATCTTATCTTCCCTCTTAAGAGTTTTTATGCTAACATTCCCTATGACCAATGACTGTAACATCTGATTCAGTACCACATTTTGGCACAAGCTGTATAAGGTACAATAAAGGCTCACTTGATTTTTGGCTTGTGGCTTTTTTCTAGTGCTGGCAACTGAAAAAGATCTTTTGTGCAAACTGAGCAAATTTGAAGTAAATTAAGCAAATGAGTGCTCAAAAGCCCTTTTCTTCAAAATGCATCTTAAGATCTCACTATAAGGGTGGTGAGGCACTGGCACAGGTTGCCCAGAGAAGCTGTGGCTGCCCCATCCCTGGCAGTGTTCAAGGCCAGCTTGGACAGGGCTTGGAGCCTCCTGGTTTAGTGGAAGGTGTCCCTCCCTGTATCAGGGGGTTGGAACTGGCTGAGCTTTAAGGTCCCTTCCAACCCAAACCATTCTGTGATCCTGCCCCTCTGCGCTCATGAGACCCCACTTGGAGCACTGTGTGCAGTTCTGCTGTCCTCAACATAAGAAGGGACATGAAGCTGTTGGAGAAAGTCCAAAGGAGACCACAAGGATGATCAAGAGCTGGAGCACTTCCTGTATGAAGACAGGCTGAGAAAATTGTTCAGCCTGGAGAAGAGAAGCTGCATGGAGACTTCATAGCAGCCTTTCAGTATCTGAAGGGGGCCTACAGAAATGCCGGCAAAGGACTGTTCATCAGGGAGTGTAGTGATAGGACAAGGGGTATTGGGTTTGAACTTAAACAGGGGAAGTTTAGGTTAGATACAAGGAAGGAGTTTTTTTACTGTGAGGGTGGTGAGGCACTGGAACAGGATGCCCAAAGAAGTGGTAAATGTTCCATCCCTGGCAGTGTTCAAGGCCAGGTTGGACAGCGCCTTGGATGAGGTTATCTATTGTAAGGTGTCCCTTCCTGTGACAAGGGGTTAGAACTGTATGATTTTAAGGTCCTTTCCAGTGCAAACCATTCTGTAAAAAATTCAAAGGTGTTCTTGCAAAGGCTTACTTTTTTCCCAGGGGATACTTTAAATCTGCCTTAAAGAATTAAATCACTTTAGAAAACTGCCTATTAGCACCTCACATTACGGTGCTGCTGTGTAAAGCCTGAATGCCGCATGCCTTCCCTGGCTCTCTTGTGTTCACAGTGTAGAGCCTAACTCTGCTAATCCTACTTCCACCAAAACACTGAATAGAAGATGAGGGAGAAGGATCAAGTCTTCAGTTTGAATAATTGATGGATTAACCCCGATTTGCTTATCTTGAAGGGCCGCAAGAACTGGCTTCTTGTGGTGAGCCCCACCTGCCCTGGTAAGATCTTGCTTATTCTGGCAAGTGTTCTTGCTGCACAGCAGAGTCATTGGAGGAGGCAGTCTTCCAGGAATGTTTGGGAAACTACCTGTGTGTTTTAGAGAGTGTCTTACTCCAGAAAGTCAGCAGCCTTGGTGCCAAGACTGCACAGTAGTGTGCTCTGGTTTTGAAGCAATGTGTAGGTAATTTTGCTGTTCCAGATGTCAGCTACTTCCATGCTGAAGCTCTTCCTCCAGTTCTGAAGTTGAACTGAGAGCGCTTGTGCTAACTTGGTGAGCTGAAAATAGAGTTGGTGTTTGTCCCCTTAGACCAGACAAATCGTGTTGCACCCACCTCCTCCTTCCCTAAAAACAAGACACAATTAGTCTCAGCTTGGAGCAGCAGTTCTTATTTATGTAGCTGCAGAGCTCTCATCCGCCTACTGCTGCGGGTGCCACGTTCAGCAGGTTATCCTCGTTTGGCTGCCCTTTAGGAAGGCAAAGGCTGTGTTTCTTGGAAGGACAGTTCACTGTAAAGCACAAGGGAAGATGATATGCTATAATAATACATTTTCTTCCTAGTTTTGCATTGCAAGTGCGGGTGGAACAGCTCAGTTTTCTCAAGACCATCTTTTGAAGTAAAGAGTTGGTTACTCTAGGACTTGGAACCAGTGTTGCTGAAATAGGGTAGCCTTGCTTGTACTCTTGAGAAGCAGTTTTGCAAGTTCAGATAGGCTTAATACACCTTAACTATTTGCAAATGTGTGGATCTGTGGGAAACTACAGTGCTAGAGCTTGTGGCACCAAGTCTGGGAGCTCTGTCAGAGCAAAACAGCCTTGCTCCCATGCAGTTGCTGCATGTCTCTGACAACTTAGTGGTTGCCTGCAAAATGCTAGATTTGCAAGTGTCGGTCTGTAAAGTATAGTCACAAATATGACTGATAAGGAATAAATCGGATTTTTTTCCCTTTTTCTTTTTTTTTTTTTTTTTTTTAGGAGAAACAGTACATTTAGCACAGAAAGGTGTGTGCAGCACAGTGAGCCCTTCAGCCAAAGTCCTGAGATACTAATCTACAATTCATTCCTATTTCACATCCAGTCTGCCTGAAGAATTGGCAGGCACTCTGGCACAGTGGGAGTTTTTATTTATTAAAAAACCTCTCTTACGAGAGTCAGCCAAGCTGTTCTGCCAGTCTGCAAGCCTAACTTCCTCAGAGGTTTGTGACCTTTTTGGCTTCTTGTGGTAGGAGCTGCTTTCAGGACTTCAGATTGATAATTTTACTGGTCCTATAGACAGTCACAGAGTGGTTTGAATTGGAAGGGATCTTTAAGCTCATCCAGTTCCAACCCCCTGCCACAGACAGGGACACCTTCCACTACAGCAGCTTGTTCTAAGTCCCATCCAACCTGGCCTTGAGCACTGCCAGGGATGGGGCAGCCACAGCTTCTCTGGGCAACCTGGGCCAGGGCCTCAGCACCCTCACAGGGAAGAAATTTTCCTAATGCCTAATTTAAATCTGCCCTTGTAGAGAAGAAAATACAGAAATTTTGTACCAGCTTCTGGCCTGCTTTCAGGTTGAGCTGGGCCTAGGGATTGGTCTGGGGGAGCAGCTCCATGACAGCACAGGTTGACCTAAGTTAATGTAACACCCTGTGTCATCCAGCCCCCCAGCAGCATTGACCCTGCAGTCTTGTGAGTGGCTTCAGGTCAGTGAAAAACAGGAAACAAGGAGGAAACACCATAGAGAAGTTCTTAAGGAGAAGCAGGGAGAGGGGATTGGGGTTTGGGGGGGTTTTCTCTCCCCCACCAAATGATGCATGTTATAATTCAGCAACTATTGATCTGCTTCGTGAGTTCTGACAGACTTCGCTGAAGTACACCTAAAAAGTACCAAAACCCATCAGCTGTATAATACAGAAGCAACGCAAAGCTCTTTGTTGCTTCAGATGGATGTTTATTTGTATCTCCCCTCTGTTCCTTGTGTTAGTGAACCTTCTGCCTCTCCCCACTACATGGAAGTTGCAGTAAAATGTTGTGCTTCAGCAGTGTGAGACCTGGGAAGAGGATAGCCTTGGCTTAGTTGGGATTTTTTGCAGGGCAGTTGCACCATCTTAGTTACATGTAATACTTTCTGAATGGTTTATTTTGCAGTTAATTGCTCTAGGGTTTGTCTTGGGAAAAGGATGAACCACAACAGGATAAGTTGATGATCATAAAGGTCTTTTCTAACCTAAATGGTTCCATGATTCTAAGTTTCTTGTGCCGAAATAGATGAAAATCAAAGTTATTCCACAGTATCTTCTCTTTTTTACCTCACTGTTAAGGCTAGTTTGGTAATTTGCTAGATTATCAAAGTACCTTTGTTAATCTGGTTGCCTTGGGTAATCTGGTAGATGCTACATTATAGTTAGAAATGTGAATCTGAATTTACTGAATTGAATTTTGCAGGCTTCAGGAAGCCTGAAAATGTTACTTTTGGAATATGTGTCTGTGATTAAATGAAAATTGTCTGAACGTGGCAGTTCTTAATTTGCTCTAAGGCTTTTCTGTCCTTGCTTGTTTTTTAGGATGATGAGGATGGAAGCAATACATTGCTATGCCCTCTAGATTGTCTGGGCGAAGAGCAATGAACTTCTTTTCTTCGTGCCAAGCATAGCACTCACCATGAGCTCCACATCTCAGAATGTGGCCAATAAAAGTGCACCTAAAGGACAGAAAAAAAAATCTTTAAATGACCTTTAGAGGTCCCTTTCAACCCAAGCTATTCTGTGATTCCTTGATCTTGATCTTGCTGTTTAAGTAATGTCTCTCCCTTATTGCACCAAGTTCAAATGTACTTAATAACAACCTGTGTACAGTAATTTTCCTTGTAATGGAAGTTGGAAAACCCTTGTCGTAGTTGGTGCCTTGTAAGATGCAGTATCAGTTACTGCTGTGCCAAGGTATTATTTCTTCATGCATGCCTACCAGGGATGCTGCTACCTCTCAGTGTTACTTAGAAATATCTGACATGCTTCTGGAGATCTTTATAATACATCTCATACCTCTGGGGTTTGTCTTTCCTTCAAAATTGTCACAGGACAATCCTATCTCCAGCCTTTTCTCTACTCTGTATTGTGTGATAATCCTAAAAGCACAAATAAATGATGTGGTAGCCTGGTGGGTAAAGTTTTACTTTCCTTTTGTATTGAGATTGGCAGTTTTTTTCACCTAGCAGCCCCAAGCAAGAACTCTTCATGGCTAGTTGAAAACATCCCCAGAGACCAGAATAGGTGGGTTTAGTTGCAGTGTTGACCTGCACTTAAAGCATTCAGCTCTCACCTTGTTGGGGGAGTGCAACTTCTGCAACATTTCTTTTTCTTATCATTCAGATAGAAATCTGCATGCAAGGAATTTAAAAACTGGGTGGAAAAACTGCTTACTGAGGGTACTACTGTCAGGTATTCCCTGAACATCCCCAGAAGATGCCACTGCCTTTTTGTGGCCCCGCAGACCACCTCGTGTACCTGTGCCACTTGGATGAGAACAGATCAGGCTCTTAGCCTCTTCTGAAGTGTTACTGCTGGGGAAAGCATGTTTGTTCAGTTTATGGGTCAGAACAGAATAATCTCCCCCCATTACCAGGTTCTGCAGTGAGGATTGTCTGGGCTTAGTCATCCTGAAAACTAGGGGTTGCCTGTTGGGCATTTATGTGTCTGTAGAGACCAGAAATTTGTAACTTCACATTTATTTCTTCACCATAACCAAGCTTCAGATGGTAAGAAAACCTTGCTTTAGTGTGTAGCTTCAAGCAGGTTTAATAGTGTGTAACTATTGAGACCACCACCACTGACCAGAGGCT